TATTTAATTTCATTATTTTATTTAAAAATTTAAAAAAATTTCAAATATATATATGTATATATCCATAAATATATAAAATTTTTATAAATAATTACTAAATAAATAGATTATTACAGTCTTTTGTTGTTGTACTATCCGTACTGCAAGACCGAGCTCCCAGCTCGGCATCGCAGCGCATAACGATATTGGATACGCGCTACGTGACGTCAACTCGTCACTTAACCAGATCATAACTAATTTGAGGAGATCTCGGTCCAGACGAGATCCGCTATCTAATTAGATCACAACTGATCTCAAGCCCAAGGCTCAACGCAATCCTAATCCACACTAAGGTATGTGCATTATTTAAACGAGACATACACTCATACAAACTCTAACTTTGGCATCGGAGTCTCTTTTGCAGGTACCACCCCCATCTTGGAACATCAACGTAACCGTGAAGGAGGCTCACCAATCTTACCCAGCAAATCATCCCTACCTCGGATTCCCGATAAGAACAGTTGTTATAAAATTGGAGGGATTATAGTTCGTTTAAGTTTCAATTGACATTAACCTCAAAAAGAAAAATATCGATCCACATCGGTGCATGCTGGGTTAGCGTAGGAGGCAAATTTTACCTAAACCATTTTATTATTCTCTCAATAAAAAATAAAATCTTATTCAGCATATGCTGATTATATTATTTTCATAACATCAATCGATAAACATTCAATATTATAAATTTATTAATCTATATTATAAAAGACTACTTAAAATATTAAAAATTAAAAATTAAAAATTTAATAAATATTATTAAATAAAAAACTTAAACATCTCTAATATCATAATTTATAAATCCATCATGTCATCCTCAACATTAGTAATAAAAAAAAATAATTACTTGCAAGTAATTGAAATATTTGAAAATAGAATAAATTTAATATTCTTTTTATAATTATATCATTGACATGAATTATCCATGATAACTAGTTTTTATTAGTTGTAGCTTTAGTAGGTCTGTTTTATTAATCATATTTTTTGTATTAAAAAAATAATTATAATAAGGATTTATTGATAAATGAGTTTAATATAAAGTAATTGAAAGATAACCCCAAATATTATTATAATGGTTTAACGCAAGATAAATAGTAATATTTAATGTTAAGAGGTGATGATGGGTCGGGTAAAGGCTAGGCTTTTTTGAGAGCTTTCCTTGTCACATACGAAACAGCATATATTATGAGCAAAACCTCACACCGATCCTCTCAATCAAAGGGTCGAATGCAAACAACTCAACCATTCCCCACACCCCCTTTCCTTTCTCTTCTCTTCTCTTCCATTACCATGCTCAATTATCACACTTCATCACTCTCTCATTGCAGAAAATAACTCTCTCTCTCTCTCTCTCTCTCTCTCTCTCTCTCTGTAATAACAACAACTCAACTCAGTCACTCACCCAAGCTGGACATGCTGGACTCCGTGCTTCTGGCGCTTTTCCTGCCCTGCCTCGGCATGAGCGCCGTGTTCATAGTCTACATGTGTCTTCTATGGTACGCCACCACCCACCACAACGACAACGGGCTACCGGCCAAGCCCGTCTCCGGCACCGGCCTCTCCCCCTCCCAGCTCGACAAGCTCCCCAGAATTACCGGAAAAGACCTGGTCTTGGGAAGCGAATGCGCCGTCTGCCTCGACGAGATCGGGGCGGAGCAACCGGCGCGAGTGGTTCCCGGTTGCAACCACGGCTTCCACTTGGAATGCGCCGACACGTGGCTCACCAAGCACCCGCTGTGCCCTCTCTGCAGAGCCAAACTCGACCCCGCGTTCTTCTCTTCCTCTGAAAATCCATGCTAAAGAGCCCAAACGTGTTTTTGTTTCTGTTTCTTTAATTAGATTCTGTACAGTTTCTTGTTGTCGTCTTTTTCTGGATTCGCATTCTTCACTTCAATCTACTGCGTTTCTTTCTTCCACGCGCCAAGCACCGGAATAGACCCGAGGACCCAACGCCCAACGCTGTCGTCTCCACTAACACTTTACTAATTAATTAACTAATAATGGTAATTTGTTGTTCAGGGAAGGGATGCGTGAAAGTAAGAGCGGGTAATTCACGCAAACAGAAGAATTGTAGTATTGAACGAACGGTTCATGTGTTTTTCACTCATCTTTTTTCATTGTTTCCTAGGCACACATAAAAGGGAAAGA